TTGTATTCATTTCATAGGTGTCATTTACCCTGTGGATACTGGGAACATGTCGCCATCACTTTTTTAAAAAGCATTTGTTAAATATGTTCTGAAAAATGGCTTGCAACAAGAAATGTTAAAAAAAACAAATGAAAATACTTTGAGAAAGGTTTATTTGCACAATAACAAAACATGCAATGCATTTAAAGATAAGACACAAATGTGCATTGGTCAAAACAGTTTTTCCTCAAACCTTTCTAGGGGACCCCCATTTAAATATATTTCAGCATTGATTATTTCATCAAATAGTGTTAAATATCTTCTTGTCTTGTTCTCGTGAACCCAATATTGTGAATCGTGCATGTGAGCTAAGTGTATCGTCACACCCCTAATCTGAACCCTTATGTCCCCACCACTTTTCAACACAAAGTGACGTCCTTGATACATTTTATCTTATCAAAGTACAAACACACCCAAAGCTATAGTGTGTTAAATATGAATGTAATATAATAAAATGTTTTATTAAATTCATGTAACTTCGAAAATAATTTTCTCGGGCTTAAAATTAATACAGATTTTCCATTAAACAGCAGTGAAGTTTAGTATTAAATTTCATCCTAGGTGGTATTAAAAAGGTCTTAAAAAGTCTTAAATTTAACTTATTTCATTCTGGGGGCACCCTGTACCCTGACGTATGTCTTTATTTCATGGGTCTTGGTGTAGTAGTGCAATTGTAAGTCACTTTGGCTAAATAAATAAATGTAGAGATTTGGGGGAAAAATGTAATTGCAATTTTAGGGGTGAAAGCATAATGGATAAGAAGAATCGGAATCAGAAGGAGCTTTATTGCCAAGTAGTGTTTTACACATACGAGGAATTTGCTGTGGTGATAAGGTACTACACGTAGACAAACATACAGTTGACAAATAAATGTAGAAATATATAAATATGGAATAGAAGAACAGCGTTGCAGATATTCACATGTGCATTATTCTGGGTCTGTGCCGTGCAGAAGTAACGCGAAGGAAGAGAAGGTTGTGTACATATAAATATATAAACTGACAACATAAAAATATACAACAACAAAGATCAACAACAAATATGTGTGACGTGCCAGGTCTGTGCACATCACGAGATGAAACAGTATTTACATGTGCAGAGACATTTGTATCATTTGCAAGGGGGGAGTGTCAAGTGGGGGACCCGGGCCTTGTTAATGAGGCTAGTTGCAGACGGGAAGAAACTGTTTTTGTGGCGAGAGGTTTTGGTCCTGATGGACCGCAGCCTCCTGCCAGAGGGGAGAGTCTGAAACAAAACAAAAATCTGTGTCCGGGGTGGGAGGAGTCAACTGTGATCTTTCCTGCACGCCTCAGAGTCCTCGAGGAGTACAGGTCCAGAAGAGATGGAAGATTGCAGCCAATCACCTTCTCTGCAGAGCGAATGATGCGCTGCAGCCTGCCCTTGTCCCTGGCAGTGGCAGCAGCGTACCAGATGGTGATGGAGGAGGTGAGGATGGACTCAATGATGGCGGTGTAGAAGTGCACCATCATTGTCTTTGGCAGGCTGAACTTCTTCAGCTGCCGCAGGAAGTACATCCTCTGCTGGGCCTTCTTGGTGAGGGAGGTGATGTTCAGCTCCCACTTGAGGTCCTGGGAGATCAGGCACGCTCAGCTGAGAGAGCTTGTCCTGCAGCAGGGCTGGAATGATGGTGTTAAAAGCAGAGCTGAAATCCACAAACAGGATCCTGGCGTAGGTTCCTGGGGAGTCCAGGTGCTGGAGGATGAAGTGAAGGGCCATGTTTACTGCATCACCTACAGACCTGTTGGCTCTGTAGGCGAACTGCAGGGGGTCCAGGAGAGGGTCTGTGATGGATTTAAGGTGGGACAACACAAGGCGTTCAAAAGACGTCATTACCACAGAGGTCAGGGCGACGGGTCTGTAGTCGTTTAGTCCCGTGGTCCATGGTTTCTTGGGGACAGGGATGATAGTGGAGGCTTTGAAGTAGGCTGGCACATGGCATGTCTCCAATGAGGTGTTAAAAATGTCTGTGAACACCGGAGACAGCTGATCAGCACAGTGCTTCAGGGTGGATGGGGAGACGGGCCTGCTGCCTCCTGAAAAGACCGTTGACTTCCCTCTCTGTGATGGAGAGAGGAGGGGAGGGGGTGGAGCTGGCCAGCTCTGGGGAGGGGGGTAGAAGTGGTGGACTGAGGCTGAAGCTGAGCGAAGGAGTCACAGGGGATGGTGTCTCAAAACGGCAGTAGAACTGGTTCAGCTCATTTGCCAGGCCAGAATCGTTTATGGAGTGTGGGACGTCAGGATTATAGTTCTGTCTGAACCCCCTCCAGACAGAAGTGGTGTCGTTTGCAGAGAACTGGTTCTTTATGCTGGGTACACACCCAAGGATTTTTTACATCTTATAAGATTTTCAAAATGTGATAGACCACAAACATGAGGAGAAAAAATCCTAGATTTAACCGTTTTGCTCCTATAGTGTGTGGTGTGCCATGATGTGACAAAAAGACAGCACACCACACACAAACAGAATTTTCAACTGTTCTAGACTGTGAACACAGGAAATCTCGCAAAATATCGCGAGACTTCAGAATAAGCAGGTTCGGACACTCTTAACACACCTCACACCAAGGGAGAATCTGATAAAATAATCTGTAGAACCATCAAGATAATTGGGACATAGCTAGGATTGTCGGAAGGGGGGAAATCGGCCCAAAATCAGCCCGATTATCTTTTAGTGTGTACCCAGCATAAGTCTCTCTGAGTACAGTCGTTTTGTTTCCCGCACCTCCTGGCTAAACCTGTACTGTAACACCCTGCACCCGGCCCTGTCACCACTCCTAAATGCCTCCTCCTTTTCCAACCTCAGCTGTCTGAGTTTAGCTGTAAACCAGGTGGTTGTCAATGTTATAACTCAGCCTACTGCGTGTTGGTATACATGTGTCCTCACAGAAGCTGATGTAGGACGTCACAGCCCCTGTAAACTCATCCAGATTGTCGGTAGCCTTCTTGAAAATGTCCCAGTCAGTGCAGTCCAAACATGCCTGGAGGTCCTCAACAGCTTCACTAGTCCACTTCTTTGATGTCCTAGGTTTACAGAGCTTTAGTTTCTGCCTGTAAGCAGGAATCAGATGGACCATCACGTGATCAGAGTGTCCCAGTGGAGCGCGTGTGACGGCGTGATAGGCACTGCTAACTGTGGTGTAGCAGAGATCCAAAGTGTTCCCCTCTCTGGTTGGACTCTTTATAAACTGTCTGTATTTGGGCAGTTCTTGGCAGAGGTTTCCTTTGTTGATAAGTCACCGTGAACAATAACAAGGGAGTCCGGGTTTGTCTGCTCAACACACAGTATCCGGTAGGCCAGCATGCGCTGTGCGTCGTGCACGTTGGCGTGCGGCGAGATGTAAACACTGACCAGAGTGAATGAAGCAAACTCACGGGGGAGTAAAACGGTTTACAGTTAATGATTAAAAATTCCAGATTAGGAGAACAGTGCTGTTGAATCACTGTCACATCGGTAGACCAGCCATTGTTAATGTAAAAACAGACACCTCCACCTTTTGTTTTGCCGGAGAGTTCTGTGTCGTGGTCCGCTCTGTAGAGTTGGAAGCCTGCCAGCTGCAGCGCGGAGTCTGGTATCAGCTCATACAGCCACGTCTCCGTGAAGCACAGAACAGAAGATGAATAAGTTTCTGTTTTTCCCCACCAGTAGCTGAAGTTCGTCCAGTTTGTTGCACAGTGAGCGCACGTTGGAGAGAAATATTGCCGGTAGCGGTGTGCGGAGTCCCCGCCGGCGAAGACGCACGAGCGACCCGGCTCTTTTTCCTCTCCTTCACAGCACGAACGACAACGAGCGAGGCCTTCACCAAAATGTCTGATAATTCCACTGATGATGCAAGAAAAGTGGGAATTAAATCCGCTGGAGTTGTTCCCCTGATGTTCATGAGCTCCTCCCTGGTGAAAGAGCTCCAGGAATCACAGCCAAAAACTGAATTAACACACAAAAACAAAACAAAGCGCACCTAACACCGAGGCAGCTATACTCAGCGCCATCTTGGAGAGGAGAGTATGCTTTTGGTGTGAGAGACCAGGGTTAAATTCCCTACTGTCCACCATTGTGTCTCTGAGCAAGACACTTAACCCCTAGTTGCTCCAGAACCTCTGACATATATAGCAATTGACCCTTCGCTAAGCCCCGCCCCCCTTAGTTACTGTTGCTAAATCCGACAAACTGTCAGCGCTGCCACTGTCTATTACTGCACTCCCTGGAGAAATATTGTCAAATTTGTTGGAAAAACCGTTGCGATCTCAGAAAGAAGCAGACAGTTTTGCAGTTGCATTATACATTTGAAGGTTGTAAAAAATTAAAGATAGAAGCTAAGCCTACCAATCACACAGTACAAGTGAACCACCGCATCCCCCTACGATTGAGACAAAAGACAACAATATGAACGATCAACACTGGTCCTGTAAAGCTGGGTAGGCCTCTATTCATTATTACAATCATTAAAAAACAGAACAGTGGGGCTTTATTACGTTACATTCAGTAGAAAGTTAGGAAGCACTAGCTGACTAACATTACATTTGTAACAATCCATAGCCTACATTTTTCTGGATTTATTTTAGGTTTTGGAAAAATAATAAACCGTACTTCTCCTGTCAACCTCTCTGGGTAGCGACTGAAGCTATTACAAGTGCCCCAGGAACAGCGTTTGACCATATCATGGAAAAATACAGCAGAAGAAAGCATTAGAATGAATGGAGCGCCTATACTGCCCTGTGATTGGCCAGCTGTGTATTTGGGGCGTGGCTTAATGAAGGGTCAATTGTAAGTCGCTTTGGATAAAAAGCGTCGGCTAAATGGATAAATGTAGATGTCAATATATGGGCTGCTGTCCTGCAGGAAATAAATTTAATTCAAATTTTAGTCAAAACAAATGCCAAGGAGATATTGTTCTTCATAAAATAATTCCACTAAATGAACTTGCAGTTGTTTGGTGACTAACCTTCCAATAAAGTTGTAAAAACCCAGCAGGAGCAGATCTCTGTACAGTGTGCCATCAGCAGCTGAGGGCTAAACTCAAACAAGATGTTGACTTGTTGCTGTGCTGAGGTGTAGTGTAGTAGTCTTGACAAAGTGTTCCTGGCTTTTTTCAGCTCCCCTTGCTGCTCTCACTGGATGGCAGGAGAACACTGTGTTCTGGCTAAAAATTAAGCCTTTTGTGAGATCATGTTTCTTTAGGCCTGTGTGTGTGAGCGTGTGTGCGTGTGTGTGTGTGTGTGGTTGGACTTTGGCTGCAGTGTCATCCAATAATCCTGTAGCACCTCAAGCTGAGCCCCCTCAAGCCACGCCCACCTGAAGCTATGCACCCTTGCAGTAGAGTCTGTTATGACTGGCTGTGGAGTACTGTCATTTCCGTTCTGCACATGCATGTGCTTATTCGTGCCCGATTTTGTACCAAGCATGTTTACATTGTCTTTGACGACAGCCAGCGAGTTACTTTTAAACCATTATGAACAACACAATATTATACAAGTACACTACAATACAAACAACAATACAGGGAGTCATAGCTTTAGCATAAAGACTAAAATTAAAGTGTCAGTTACTCAATAAGCTCTTGTTTCCACAAGTTTAAAGTTCCAAGATCTGGGAAAGTACAACGTAAGCAGTGGCGTTTTCTCCCAGAAGCCAAAGGAAGCCAGGCTTCCCCTCTTTTTATCAGACTCTATTTATCATTTCAATAAAAACACAATGTTTGTAGTTTCGATAAATCTTATAAGCTGTTGCTGACATCTCTTCCCCATTTCTCCCTGTCTTACAATAAGTGAAACAGCGCCCCTCTAAATGTTATGCGTTGGATGTGTGGCGAAACACTATATTGCACCACCGTAGACTGGCCTTCAGTCTAACTAAGCGAGGAGGCCAGGCAGAGTTGGCATCCCGCTGTGAAATTTTTTTTAATGATTAACCAATCAGATGAGGCCACTGTCATGCCACTGCCTAACTGTGATTAGTCAGGATGACGCTGTCTGGCTTCACGCCAATCAAATCACACCATGCATCAACGTCATTCAGATGAAATAACGGGAGCTGTTAGCAGGTGCAGTTATGGAGGGTGGAGATTTGGAGTTTTTAGATATAATAAATAGTTTTACTAAACTACCACTAAAAGCAGCAACTTAAGATTAAATTTGACAGAAGACCAACGGCAAAACTGGAGCTGGGCGTGGAGAGAAAAAAGGGGTTTTGGATGTTCAATGAGGAAAACTATATCCGTACAGTGTGGCTAGCTAGTAGCGTCAAAATTCGACTGGTTGTTGCGGAGGACGAAAAGCCAGTGGGAAGTTTTATAACTTGGTTATTGACCACTTCGCAACAGGAGAATGGCCTTCCTTTTCAGATAGGTTGAGTGAAATGTCACCTCCTTCTCTCTCTTAACTGAACTCAACTGCAGCTATTTGTGCGATTTTTAATGTGGTTATATTGTTTGTTTTGCTTTGCTTGCCCGGATTTAGCTGTGAATGGTCAGTTGATGTAACCTTATTGTTTTTACTGCGGTTGTGTATGCATAGATAATGAGCACCACAGACAGCACCTGCCACAGGGCACTAGGCCAGGCTACCTGAATAATTGTCTATACTCTGTTGGCCGGATACTCGGTTGTTAGTCTTCAGTGATGTTGTGTTATGAACATTTGGCCAAGCATTAAGAAGTATGTAGGCCTATTGGTACATGCACCACTGCTACTACGCAAATGTCTTCAATCGTCTTCTAATTGAGCTTGTGAAGGCTTCTTTTAGTCTTAGCCCGCTGCTTATGGTGCAGGTTATGTATGCTATTTGGGGTGAGAGAGAGTGTGGGAGAGCGTACGTCCCTGTAAATGCAACTTTCAGCGTGTGTATTGATAACAGAGTGCGCATCTTTAAAGTTTGATTAAATTTTTGTAAAATTATACCCTGCAGTGTAATAGCACAATGCATTAGATAATCGCCCCCCAAGAATTTACCCCACGCCACGCTACTGGATATAAGCAATTCAAATATACAAGTGACATGACAAAATATAAATGTTGCAAATTTCTGCCATTAGGTCTACATTGCTGTCACCCTGTAACTTAAAAGTCCTATCTTCATTAGTACAAATTTGGACAAATTGGTATGCATGTTTTCACACCAGTCACAGGAAGATGAAAATTAGCGGATTAGCTAGCAGTATTAACAGTTAACAGTACCACTTTATGTTATCATAGTAAGCAGCAAGAGTTCTAATAATACATCAGTGGTAAGCAGGCACTAATACAGAACCATCTTCTTAGATTTTTTGGCAGATTGCAATTTCAAAAGCATCTTATTTTCTAATGAACTCTGACCTAGATCTAATAGCAACATTACAGTCCTTCCTTGGCCAATTGTGGGTTTATGGATTTAACTGGATGCGCACTTTGCAGACCACAGCCAGACGTTCTCGTGACATGAACAGACCTGGGGGTTTCTCCAAATCAGCACTGTGCATGCTTTTGTGTCTGCGTGTGCATGTGTGTGTGCCTATGCCAGCATTCTCCAAGAAACATCTGTTTTGAAGTAAAGAACAGTGATTGCATCAAGTTTAGATGTTTGCAGTTCAGGAATTTCTTAGAAATTAATGTCAGCATCCTCAAACAAGAGAAAAAACAAAATAAGGCCTTGGTCACACGAGAAAGTGAAATTAATCCCCAAAGTCCTCACAAAAAGGTGGCGCTGGATGCTTTCTGACGTAGTTACAATATGCATAACTAGATGGTGAGCTAACTGGACCAGGCCAGCAGCTCTCTGAGGTCCAAGCTTATACACTTATTACCACTTAACTAACTACCAGTCACCAAAATCAATGAATTCTGCTCTGTTTTATAAATGATCTTATTTCTCATCTTATTAGTTTATCTCATTTTATCTAATTCTACTTTATTGTAGCTTACCTTACTGTTCTATGTAATCTCTTAAATCTCTCTTCAACTAAGGGCCCTGTATCTGTTCCCTAACTACTCGTACAGTATATCAATGTGTGTTATTCTATGTGATTTAAATCATGTGTCATCCTTCAAGTTATCAGAAATACCCGTCCTGTGTTGGTGTTGACACACAGTGAGAAAATAGCTTAATAAATTATGTGCCACATGCCTGGTCGGAAACTGAGTTTACAAAGACTTAAATACCGCGTTTGGAATGTGGTCAGCTGCTGGATGATTTCAGTCCACATATCTGTGGACTTAAAGTAGTTTTGGACTGGAAACTAGTCTGAAAAACATGCTGAATTGAGCCACGCTGCTGTGATGTGTTCTTACTGTTTATTTGCTTGGCAGAGCCATGAAGCCAACCTCACTTTCCACACTCCGGATTTAACCAGTGATGTTTTTTCAACTCACCTGGGGCTTGTTTTCTGATCCAGTAGTCTACCACACTTTTAGCACGTGTTTATTATTGAGATGAATGTATCATGGTTTTTGTCTGTTTGTGGATCTAAAATGGGTCTAAAATGATGATGAATGTAGTTGAAGTGGAGACGTATACAGTATATTGTGCAAGCTGAGGGCTGACTGTGTTTGTCTGAGAAAAGTATACAAGGCTGTATTGTAAAGCAACACCAGAACATTAGTTGCTGGGCAAGGATTCAATCCTTCAACTTCTCAGTCGGCAAAGTCCAGCACAAGAAATGGTCTGGTGAGTCCAAGTAGGCGCAAGTTAATTTAACATTTCTGTACATAAATATGAGCCTGCAGGACATGAAGCCATTTGCAGCCTTTCTCTGGAAGCACTTTGTCAGAACCTTTAGGAGGCCAAGGAAAAGAGGGACAACATTTGTTGTCAATTTAGCTCCGCTTTCAGATGAAAGCAGCCCGGTGGATTTATGGCACCTCAGCACAAGCAGCCATGTGCTAGAGGTATGCAGCATCATGTGGATGTGAATACTGAGCAGGAATATACTGCCACAGCTTCCTATTTCACATAACTGAGATGTGCATTGAGTGTGGCTCTATAAGTTACCTGTCCTCTGTGCAGACTGACTCACTAGCCTCACCCAGTCTGGTGTGTCATCTGGAAGACTCATTCAGAGCTTGTCTCTATTTCAGCACAGAGCCTGTGAATCCATTTAAAATGATGACAAAGGTGGTTGCCGCCAAACTATTCAAATTACATCATAATTTATATTGACAATGTGAAGCTACTTCAAAGAAACATTCTTACTGATGAGAAGCCACTAGGCCAGCACGCTGACGTGAAGTCAGAGCTGCAAAAATACTAGAATGAAGCCACATTCTAAATCCATAATGCATATTCACAGTGTTCCGTTTTTCAGAATCTGCTTATAATTAGTATAGAAGTATGGAAGTTTGAAAGTTTATAGTCAAGTGTTTGCCAGAAACTGTTAATTAGCATGTTCTAAAATGTTTCAGTTTGTTTGAAGTTTTGTTTAATAAATTTATCACCAGACAGCATTTCTGTCAGGATAAATGTCTTGTTTTTTTAGCAAATTGTATGGCTGGGTGAGGTCAATGTAAGAGAAACACTACTTTAATAAACACTTATTTATTTTGAACTTCAGGATTTTTCAGTGCACTCACAGAATGGACAGCTAGCGGGCTGTGAGGAGATATTCACTGAATATGACAAAAAGACGCATTTTGGATTAGAATCGTTTACCACAACTTTAATAATAAAATACCTGTGACTGCTTGTTAAACTAAAAAACTGAAAAATAGCATGCTATAACTCAGAAGACTACGTGGTATGGAAACAAAATAATGAAAAATTGTGCACTGACTTACAATGAGGTACAAAAGAAACTTACAGAAAGACGTCTAGGGAAACTAGACAAAACAAACGTGATCTTGAAAGCTGAGATGACTGTGAAGCTCTTTTTGCCCACTAACCTAAGGAGGACAAGTTTTGGGCATGGAGGAAAACTGTATCCTTTTGTCTAAAGGGACATGTCCTATGGAACCAACGTGGTCTTTTCCAGTTTACTGACTAGGGATTTTAATTTAAATTGTACGAGCAAAATTACATATCAGTGATTGTAAGAGCATTTAAGGAAACACCAACAGCCTTCATCATTCAGAAACTGCCTACATTCTTTGGCCACATGAGGCCGGACATTATCCTTCATTAGGAGGAACCCAGGGCCCACTGTACCAGCATAAGGTCTGACAACGGCTCTGAAGATGTCATTCCGGTACCTTAAAGCAGACAAAGTACTGTTGGCTGGGACGTGGAGGTCTGTGCAA